TATGATTACCATGTATTTTGCTTGACTTGAGTTTGTAACTCAACTTTTATATGTGAATAAATATATGGACACCTTTGTTGATGTACCAAATTTATATTTTATTGACAAAATATAGATTTTTGTTTTCATGTTTGCATCTAGATAGAGTTTGCACAAGAAATTATAGTTATATTTTATTTGTTAGCAATGCAAATGGTTCTCATTGACATTAATTTGTGATGTTTTTGATTTTTTGTTTGTTTAAATTACAGCCAGTTTTTGTTAGATGCAAGAAATGTATCGGGAGGAGTTTTGGCGAAAATAGAGGGAATTCGATCTCGAGAGGTATACTGACATCTAGTAAAAGATGCCCCAGATCCCTCTGACCTCCCTGTCACTTTGTATGTTGTGGTTTCCCGAGGCGGATAACGAATAAAGAACATCCAGACACAGCGGCGCGTTGCTTCTACACATCTGGTTCGTTTTAATGTAAGTAAGTTATTTCCACTATCTTTTTTGTTTATTTGTGGCAAGTAGAGTTACTAATATTTTGTTTGGAATCTTATTTTGTAGGACCAGGACCAGGAGCTTTTCATGCTTCGGTTGGATGCGACGGTGCGGAGACAAGTTTGACCCTACGTACCTCATACCCCGACGATTGGTGTAGAGGACACATCACGTGAGCACTTTCGGCGGTGGGTTTCAACTTTAACCTTACCAATGGCGGCTAGAGAAAACACTGGCCGTAGTTAAGGCGACTCGATGAGGAGCCTCCTCTGTCGTGAATCTGCGGAGATCGAAACTATGATGGAAATCCACGAGAATACGTTGGAGTTGTGTCCGTCAGAACAAACCTGAAGTAAGTGAAAATTATGTATACATTTAAATGTTTAGCTCTACCATATGGAAGTATTGCCTAATGTATTCTCTTATAGCGTTATGGATTGAAAATTCCTTTCCATGAGTGGCTCTACGGTCCGAGAAGAATCCAATGGGCTGGAGCCACCAAAGGCAAGGAAAAAAGAAAGAAAAAGGTTCATTTACAAAGCACCTCCGGTCCAGTCACGAATGTGGTGTTAAATCTAACTCTGGTCCTGTAGATCGCTTGAACTTAGAATATGACATTATTGTGGCCCTTATGGTTGACTATGATGAGTTGGTTATTTTTGTGGTAATCATGAAATCGTATTT